AATAATATTACTTCACACAATGTGTTGTCGCCCAGTAACACTTGGAAGTGACATGAAATTGTGATGTTGGCCTATTACTTAATCTTTCTCGTCGGAAAATCCCAAGGATTCTTTGGGCGTCTGATAAAGATAGAAGGTTTGTTATCTTTCCTCTTGAAATGGCGTAGGGTTGTGTTGATGGACTTGAAATCAGGTCGCGGACTTCTTTGAAGATTGGAGGGAGGATAGATGACTAATCTCGGTAGCGAATTCCCTTCAGATTTGATGCTTTCACGTGAAATAACGCTCTACATGAGCGGACCACAAATCAAGGTCACTAGGATCGAATGCTGGGAGTCAGACGTCCGTAGCCATAACAGTGTCTGTCTCTGACAGTGTCTAATTACAATTATTCCTCAGTCTTTTCGTTTAGATTTGATCCGACATATGTACGTTAGTTATATAATAATATAATATGAACTGGGTAAAATTAAGACTGCAACACGAATACTTTTCAATAAAAGACAATATTCATATATATATTTATGTATACGAATTTTATGTTGAAGATAATTAAAAGTTTTACCTTCACTATCTGGTAAAAGCATATGCGAAACAGAAACTAATTTTCGTGTTTGGGGTGAGGCCCGTTCGTTTCGTTCCGTTGAGTACCCCTCGTACTGCCGATATAAGAAACCAGATTAGTAGTGGGTATGTCTATATCTTTAAGCTACAGAAGGCGGAGTTATGTGTCAGGTTACACAAGGCTTCTCAAAATTCAACGTAAAACAATGGGGAATATAATGTCCATGCAAAATAAGGAAATGATTGAGTACCTAATGTAACGGAAAGAGAACGATGAAAATCACTCTGCAGTTTCTTCGCTGAACAGTATTGTAATTTATTTGTTCCTTCTCCCTGTTGTGTATTCTAACCTTTGTTCCGATCTCGTTTAACCATATCTTTTGTTCTTCAGTCTTCCTCATTTGGGCCTTTATTATTTGATTTTGATTGAAGACTTATTTTTCGTTACCTAATTTTCTATTTAATGATGCCGGACCATCGACAGTAAGGTCGTGTTTGACCAAGCTCAATGTCACGGCGTGGTTCAGTATGTGACTGTTAACCTTCTGACTGTCTGCTTGAGAGGATTGCTGGAATCCCTTGTTGGGAATATTTGTATTGATTCTCATGTACCAAACCCTTTAGTATTACCTGTCTTTTTCATTCTTTAGCGCGCTACTTTGCGTTACAAAAGCTTCTGACTGTATAGGAAAAACTGTACCGTTTGGAGTATTTTGTATTTTTGATGTAATTTGTTCTGTTTTCTAAATTAGAACCGTTTATGTTGAGCAAATAGTTTGTGTTTTGATATAATATAATACGCGTATCTTAAAAACGCGTTGTGAGCTATACAGAGGAACGTGGTCTGGTCTAATCGAATAAATTTTGGGTTCGTCAGTCCGTTGTTCCAACCGAATATTGGTTGCTCGGTCGCTTCACCTAAGCTTTATTGTTGTAAACGGAATACACCCATTATGACATTAAATAAGAAAGAAAGATTAGTTCAGCGAAGAGTTCTCTTTTCGGCGAATTCATTTTCAAAGCTGTACAATCGCAAATATATATACTTATTTTTACAGGATGATAATAATACTGATAATAAACTTATGATATACATGGTGACAGTGAGGTTAAATAAACAAAGGTATTAGAAAAACTTTTTAGAAACAAGGAAGGTTTGATAGATAATGGCTTAGATAGTCATCGGGTAAGAGTAGCGCAGCATGATAAAATAACATAAAATGTTGAAACAGAGATGAAATGTAATCGGAATGATCGTTGAACAGGTATTTGAGCACATAAGACCAACAGCATCGATAATACCGCGATTATACGGTTTGCCAAAAATACACAAATATGGCCTACCTCTTAGACCGATTCTCGATATGTCTGGATACCCTTACCACCCTATAGCAAAGTGGTTGGCGAATCTCTTAGAACCCGTTAGAAAACTCATTTCTAAACATTCTGTACGCGATACTTTTGAATTTATCGAGCACATAAAAGAAGTGAATGTAAGTGGCAGAATTATGCTATCTCTGGATGTGGAATCATTATTCACTGATGTCCCACTTACAGAAACCATTAATTTTATCTGCAAGTACATAAACAATACTGAGATAAACATTGGGATACCTGAGGTTTATTTGAAGGAATTATTACTACGTTGTACTTGCAATGTACAGTTCACATTCAACGACGTAATTTATAGACAGAAGGATGGTATAGCAATGGGATCCCCACTTGGTTCATTACTGGCAGATTGCTTCATGGCCAGTTTAGAAAACAACCAACTTAAAAGAATTATAGAAAACCTCCACTTATATATAAGGTATATGGATGATATCTTTATCATTTGTGATAACAAATGTAACTTAAGTGATCTCCTAAATACATTTAATAATTGTCACCCATCAATAAAATTCACAATTGAAGTTGAAAACAAACAAAATATTCACTTCCTTGATGTAGATATAACAAGGAAACAAGATGGTAATTTAAAAAGATCTATCTACAGGAAACCCATATGGAATGGCCAGCTATCAAATTTCCACAGTTGGGTTCCCATCAGCCGAAAAAGAAACTTAATAATCACTCTCGCCACAAGAATACGAAGAATCTGTAGCCCTGAGGTCGTAGAGGAAGAATTGAGTTTTTTAAAAGAGATACTTATCAAAAACGGATATCCTTCTATATTCATTGATAAGAATATGAAACCAAAAATGCCAAGACCACAAACCACTGCAGTAGAAAAGAAAATTTTATACATGAACATCGACTTCAAAGGCGACAGAGCCGCACATATCTTAAAGAGGAGAATTTCAGATTCCTTAAAAAGAACATTTTTCGCAGCAACATTGCGAATATTATTCTCCAGCCGATCACTGTTCGCCAATAATCTGAAAGATAAATTATCGCATCTGACCAATTCAATGTGCATTTACCAATTTACCTGCTCTTGTGGAGCTAGGTATATAGGTCGTTCGATGCGTACTTTATCCAAAAGAATTCAAGAACATTGTCCGGCGTGGCTAAGAAGAGGAGGCAGTGGTTCAATAAGAAGTTCTATAATCGAACACCTTGTGAACACAGGTCACTCAACAAAGACAGACTCTGCGTTCAAAGTCATCTACAAGGTAAGTAGAAACCTTCCTAAGACAATTAGACTACATCTCCTTTGCATTGCCGAGGCAATAGCCATACATTTTGAAAAACCAGAATTATGTGTACAAAAGAGACTGGTACAACCTCTTCTTTTACCGTGGTCTTAATGTATTAAAATTTTTTTCTCTTTTTTCTCTTTCTCATTACTCTTGTTCTTTTACAGCCACCTGCTTCACCTTCCATCTTCCCTTCAAATCTTGTACCCCCAACCGGTTTGTTTTTATTTCAACGATCATTCTGATTACATTTCATCTCTGTTTCAACATTTTATGTTATTTTATCATGCTGCGCTACTCTTACCCGATGACTATCTAAGCCATTATCTATCAAACCTTCCTTGTTTCTAAAAAATTTTTCTAATACCTTTGTTTATTTAACCTCACTGTCACCATGTATATCATAAGTTTATTATCAGTATTATTATCATCCTGTAAAAATAAGTATATATATTTGCGATTGTACAGCTTTGAAAATGAATTCGCCGAAAAGAGAACTCTTCGCTGAACTAATCTTTCTTTCTTTATTGTTGTGACAATTACTTTGATGTTTCTGTTCGAATCTTAACCAGTCAACCTAAGTTGTTGCAACTTCTAGCAAATATAGAAACAATTCTGTTACTGAGCTGTGTCACGATTCGATATCGTGAAAGAGTTAGCCTAACCTTTGTCCATAGATTTAATCTTCATGTTTAAAGACGTTCTTTTTAAAGATGTCATAAAGCTCAGAAACATCATCAGTAGATTTGGCAGGTGTAACGTGTCCGTTGTACTCGCGCGATAGTGTTTTCACTTCTCCGAGTAACTGAGCATGTGGGTCAGTCATATCATACTCGTGGTAGCCATCAATTGTATAGCAGGACAACGCTTCTGTACCTTCGGTCTATAGAAGAATAAATTACTAATAGAGTTGAGGGAGTTTCGATCCCTAAAAGTCTGGATGTATGTGTGCATAAGAAGAACTGAATCTATAAATATGCCAAAAATATCTGAGAACACAAAACCAATATAATAACATTTAAAAAACATACACAATTTTGCGAAGAGCAGTGAACTCTCAGTGTATCGCTTAGTGAAAAGGCTTTCTGGCCTTGAATCAGGGGATAAACTGTAACACTTGAACTTCGTTGTCTGACCATAAGTTACGAGATGATCTTGTCGATCCACGACGTATATGTGCCCAACAAATATGAACTTAATCGTGTAGAATGAGAATGGTATGACTAACCGGATAGCACTGAAGGCACACCTCACAGTTAGTAGCTGACATTGATTGCTTTTTCGTCGTATCCGCATACAATGGATACATCAATGATCGTACAACACAAAGGGCGTTACTACAGATATCAGTAAGTGCAAGTTCAAAGAACGGTGTGTGATTACTGCTGCACGGGTCAGTTAGCGGCATGCAATGAATTTATGCTCGTTAGTTTTCCTTGAACTTAGAAAGGATCGGTGAACTGGTCGACATTCAGTGACCCGACTGCCGGATGATTTGTCTAGGGTCCAGTGACATTGCACTCGAACTACTATACTGGATCACAATCTAATTTCGTCATTACCATGTTTTATTTTTTACCTAGATCAGCCCAGATGGGAGCTCATTGACATGAACTTCGAGGACCGAGATATAATCATCTTCGTTTGCATTTTCATTCCTCTCATTGAGTTGTGAATTACTCGGATCCTCTAGCACTGAATATCAGCGCCTCCAGTCAATACCCTGAAAGAATGACTGAACCTTCATGGTACCGCAAGTATCAAGTATTTATATAAATCACTTAACATCACATTCTCATTTCTGAAGGCTAAAGTTTGAGATTGAGGTAAAACTGGCAACATTTTGAATTTGGTCAAGGTCAGTTCTGCTTTCCGTCCGTCCTGCGCAGTACTGTAGGGTTATTACTCCTGGTAGGTAACATTTCTCAGGGGGAAGGTATTCATGACTTACAAAACTCACTTGTACAAATTAGTAAGTGTAAACCAAGAAATTTGTGTTGTTCTTGATGGTTTGTATAATACTGAATATCTTATCTCTCTGCAAACTTAATAAGAGGGGCGAGACTCTGATTTATGGACGACCTTTGAACGAATCTTAAGTGGCCTTGAGAAATATCAGTCAATCAGCACACAGTCACTATAGAGTAAAAATATATTATACAAAACCAAGCAAATAAAATGGATACACTTCTTATACATGGTTCAAAAACTTTTCAGGGTTAGAAATAGGTTCAGAAGCTCTAAAATCCTAATGCATACAGTAAAGGAAATCATCCACATGGCTACAGAATAGTCGGACTCTAGAGCCATGACAAAGTCTCAAAAACTCTTTCAGCATCGACCACATAGCTTCAATATTGTTTATGTGCACTCCAGTTGTTGAGTGCACAAAATGCTACTTTTGGATGACGACACGATGAACATAACCAAGCCTATGTTGAAGTCTGTACGCTCTCCAAACATCCGTATATATTGTGGTACCTGGCTGCAGCCGGTGTTATTGGTGTTTTTATAATCCTGTTCGCGATCATTTTCGTATTGTACCTTAGTTAGGAATTATATATGGGGTTTCCATCAACAACTGACATCTTTGGATTTGTATAATATATTCTCACGCTACATTAACTGTTTTCTGAATGATCAATATTCATCAAGGTCACTTAAGATTCGTTCATAGGTCGTCCATAAATTATAGTCTAGTACATAATATACAAATCCAAAGAATTAGAGTGGATAAACTTCTTTTACATGCTTTTAAAACTTTTCGAGGTTAGAAAAAGAGTCGGAAATCGTAATACATACGATAGAGGAAGTCATTCACCTGGATTCATAATAGTCGACGTCTGGAGCCATGATAAGTTTACAAAAACTTTCAATATTGTTTGTGTGCACTCCGGTTGTTGGGTCCACAAAGATGTAAATAACGACACGATGACCTGTCGTATATTCCAAGGACCTGTGAGGTTTATTTACGGAAGTGCTACTAACCCAGTTCGTTCCGTCCTACTTTATGGCAGTGAAACATGGCCGGTAAGAGTAGAGGATATCCGTAGGCTACTAGTATTTGATCATAGGTGTCTTCGAAACATTGCTCGTATATCATGGGACCATCGAGTAAGTAACACAGTTGTTAAGAAACGGGTACTAGGTAAGGATGGCAAATCAATTGATGAAGTAGTGAAACTTCATCAGTTGAGATGGCTGGGACACGTGTTACGTATGCCCAACGACCGACTGCCTCGACGTGCTATGTTCAGTGGTATAGGAGTAGGTTGGAAGAAAGCTAGGGGCGGCCAAACCAAAACATGGCACAAGTCCATGAAGTCACTGACAAGTGAACTGAGTCATGTTGGTAGGTGTAGACTACCTGGTTGGGGACCGCGAGATGATAGCAACCGATGGTTAGAGACCCTGAATGACATGGCTCAAAATCGTTTGCAATGGCGCAGGTGCATCCACTCTCTGTGTTCTCCCAAATTCTAATCTTCTGAATTCTTCATGTCCCTTCATTTTTCTCTTTCCAAATTTGTTTCACTGGATTATACTCTATGAGTAACATCTCAAACACTAATTTTCCCGATTACTGCTTATACTCTTATTACCTCTACCACTACGGGATTTGAATCGACAACTGCTTCTCTGTGCTAATGTGGTGTGGCAACTCGAACTGATGTACGTACGTACGAAGTTCTACGTTGTTACTGACTGACTGACTGACTGACGTCTGTTGAATTTTCGTTTTCTGACTACTGCTTCGTCTATTTCAACGATTTCCCCAACTTCCCCAAACGGCTTGTGTAAGTTTTTCATTGTTATTGCGCACTTATCTCTACAATACTCATGCCACTGAAAAGCCGAAGCTTCAGTAACATCTGCAAATGTTGCAGCCAGTGTCACTGGTGCTTTTATTATCCAGTTCGCAACAATTATCATAATTTACCTTGGTCTCAATCTGGGTCGAGCAAAAACTGTTCTTCTTCTAGAAGACTTCCTCCAGCATATATTACATCGAAAGACATCATCACGGCAATCTGCACATCTATTCCGAAACCCATTTTGCCCTGCTTCGACTTGGGTACCCGGGCAGTATTCCAGCCCTCACACAAATCGAATAGCTTGTTTTGCGCATATGTATTTGGTGCCTCCTTATACCGATGTTTATGTGACTAAATAAGTAAAATTGCCCTTAAGTTAACAGTTTATGTGATTGCATATGTCTTAGAGACTTACCCTGAGTTTTTCGAACACTCACTCGTACACCAGTTAGATACAACATGTCTCTCCCTACTTAATGACAGAGATAATCGTAATATCCTTCCGATCTCTTAAGGGTTGAGTTTGAAGATGAGACTTGTTGAACAACTCTGTGAGTAGTTTTGAGATAATGTCCGTGAGGGATGGTGACGATCGTAAATATAACCTGTTATGTAATTAATAACTTGAACTCATCAAATACAAGTAACATTTTTTTTATTTACTACGTCTTCACTGTAATGTCTTGCCAAAATATGGTGACTGCTGCTACTAGTATGACCGTTAATTAAGACTGAAATAACTGCTGCTTCGTTCTTGTTCAGCAGAACAAGGCTGATGCGTCTCGATGCCTGAAGAAAACAAGACTGTCGAATGAGGATTCATTTTGTTGCTAACCACTTATCAATAACTTACAAGTGATTAAAGTTTTCATTGTTATATTCTCATTTTAAATGTCTGATGAACAGGTAGATTGGAATATATTCGACCGATAGTAGTTAGCATTAATTAATCAATGATTTAGTGTAAGTATACAACTTTTTAAATCAATAGATTAGCTGCTTTAACTAATGCTTATAATTAAAGTACCAAGCTATATATTTCGCACCTTATTAATAGTCATCTTTTGATTTAGATGCATTGATTAAGGTTTCTTGTAGGAGGTCAGGTGCTTTAACCGGATTGGTGGATATGGAGGATCCACCTAGGGGAGTTGGAAAACCTTGATTCCAAACCATCGGTGAATTTGGGCTCCAGGATCCTGAGAGAACAAATGGCAAATGAACCAATTATTGGTCACCAGCTACCATGAGACTGCATCTCATTACGTTGTTCCACTGCCTTGTGGATCAGACCTTTAGGTCAAAGGCTCGGGGAGTGGCTTCCTTAGAAAACCACTTGCCTCGGTTTGGGCACCCATGTAGTACTCTATCCATCACACAAACCGAATGTGTGGCGCATATATATATATATATATATATATATATATATATATATATATATATTCGGTGCCTTGTGCTAGTGTTTGTGTTTAAGTAAATAATTCCCATAGGAGAGGATCAGCCTGAAAATTGATCCTCCTTGATATGGTCCGATGACTTACCAGGTTTAAGACTACCAAGTAATCAAAAAACATCTTCCTGTGTCACAAACGCTAGTTTTGTGATTGGTATCTAAGCAACATGGCTATAAAAAGTGTCATTTACAATAAAGCACAACTTGCTGAAGTAGTTCGGTAAACTTCCAGCTTTGGTCGCATGTAATTCAGGTAGTGTATCTGGGCATCGTATTCGTTCTCTTCATAGTATACGAAAAAAATTTGGGTTAGTGGTTTTCGAGTTCTGACTCCTACCAATAGATAGTGCAAGATATATGGTACGTGCGCTGAAATAATTCATGGGTCGTTGTTAAGGATGAGTCTCAAATATGTCTCCTACATCTTAGTAATTTATAAAATTCCCTATTGATCCACGAAGGGCGATTTAGTAGCGTAAGTGGATCTGGTCTTAGAATGGATGAATGTTCTGAATATGTCCTCATTCGATTTTTGACATGCCTTATGAATAGTCTGCAGAATCCAGAAGTAGATACTATAACTTTAATTTTTATAATTTAATGCAGTTAAGCAGAGAAGTTCCATTTATCACATAGGCTCCACTTATCTCACTTTAAACCTTTAACATCACGTGACGAAATGTCATTCACTGTTAACTGTCTTTTTTTCTCTTATCTGTTAAATATTACTAATATCATGTGTCAACGTTCTTTCTTAACAATCACCCATTATTGAGCTGATATGAAGTGTGGCAACTTGGAGTGCTACGGTGTTTCAGATTCTATTTTTTCCTTGATTGTCAGTGAAGAAGATCCACCAAAAATTAACTTTTATTTTCATGTCTTACTCTATAGTGTTTAACGCAGAAATGGATCTCGCCATTATATGATTCACACTGTCACTTTTGCATCCCACTAAATATAACGTAGCCCCCAAATGCCCTGGTATGGCCGAGAGCTGGGTGGGTTCGCCCTCCCTCTCGAAATGCTCTCACACAGCCGCGTGTATACAGCCTCTGCCAGGGAAGTCCTACTCACTGACTTCTCGTGGCGGGAGTGTTGTTTACAAAAATGAGAGGACGAAAAGCGAATGTTCGGCGCTCTAACCGGATCCCAAATCAATGATGCACATGGGCCCCAGTACCCTGAGGGAATAAATGGCGTATGAACCAATCGTTGGTCACCGGCTACCATGGGACTGCATCTCTTCACGATCCTCCACTGCCTTGTGGGTTAGACCTTTAGGTCAAAGGCTCGGGGTGTGGCCCCCTAAGACAACCACCTGCTTCGGTCTGGGCACCCGGGCAGTATCACAGCCCACACACAAATGATGAACTGTTTATAATTATGGAAACTACTTTTCTTGCTTCAACTAACAATCAAATGATTCAAATTATTATTATTATTATTATTATTATTATTAATTAATTAATGAATTAAATTACTACATCATTATTCTTCCCCTTTTATTCCTACTCTGTCTATACTTATTTTTCGACTTATACAGCAGCTCGTCTTTGGTGGAAATCCGACTCTATCTAAACGTTCTCGAGTCACTGTCCGGTTGAAAATTGTGTTGCCACCGAATATGAGTGCTGGAGCAGTTTTTCTGAAACCACGTGCAACATTCAAACTGGCTGCCTTCAACGTTCGCACACTTATGCAGGTCAGACAACAGATAGGGCTGGCTATGTCTTTAGAAAATCTTAATATCGATGTTTGTTGTCTATCCGAGACCCGTATTCAAGACTCTGGTGAAGTACTACAAATTCGCTCTCCATCTCTCGCTTCAAAAAGCTTGTTTTACGTGCGTTTATCGGGGGACCCTGTGGCATCTTCGTCTGGTCTTGCTGGCGTTAGTGTCGCACTAAGCGCTAGAGCTAAGGCACCACTAATCGATTGGATCTCAATTAATAGTCAGTTATGTGCTGTTAGATTAGAAAGTTCCATCAAAGTGAGAAGAAATCGGCGTGAGAAACGATGTCTTTTCGTCATCTCCGCCTATGCCCCGACAGATTGCAGCCCGGATGCAATCAAGGATGAATTCTACCACCAGTTAACTGTTCTTCTCCAGAAAGTGCGTTCGACAGATATTGTAGTACTAGCCGGAGACTTGAATGCTCACGTCGGGCGTCTAGGCACAGAAGAGAATCGTTTAGGTGGCCGATGGGAACTCGTTGGTCGCAGAACAGATAACGGGGACCGTCTACTGCAACTGTGCACAGACCACAACCTGTTTCTGGCTAGCACTAACTTCCGGCACAGTCATCGCCGATGTGCCACCTGGCGTCCTCTCTCTGCATCTCAAGCCTGGACTCAGATTGATCATATCACGATCAGCTACCGCTGGCGTGGTTGTGTACAAGACTGCCGCTCCTTTTGGAGTACCTATCTGGACTCTGACCATGCCTTGGTCTGCGCCAATCTTGCCTTACTTTTCAGTGGACAACGAAGTAACCACCACCAACGGATTGATGTTAGCGAGCTGGTTGCAACTTCTGTTGCAGGTGAGTATTGAGCCGAGCTAGTTTCTAGGCTAGCTACCATTCCACCGACAAGTATAGATGAGCATTGACTGCGATTGCATGACGCCATGAAAATGGCGAGTACAGTCAGTTGTGGGTTCGCGAAACGTCCCGCTTATAAGCACTGGGTTTCTTCTGGTTCCTTACAACTCATCGACGCTCGTCGGTCTACTCCGAGTGACCGTGAGTTTGACCACAAACGAAGGATGTTACGTAATGAAATCGGGCAAAGCTTGTGTAAGGACCGAGAAGCCTGGTGGTCGGAGCGTGCTAATGAGCTGGAAGCAGCAGCTGCATCTGGTAATTACCGGAGGCTCTTCCAACTCATCTGAGCCACTGGCAGCAAGAAGTCTGGAGTGAGCGAAACAAACTGCGAGGATGACGGGATGCCAATCACTAGCATTCATCGACGTCTTGGACGATGGGCAGAATTCTTCGAAGGGCAGTTCAACTGGACTGCTGTTCCGGCAACATCGATCGAACTGTCCTGCCCTCCATGGCCGGTGACGACTGATCCACCAAATGAGGCGGAAGTCCTCAGGGAACTCCAACTCTTGAAGCACTACAAATCACCTGGTCCACACGACTTACCTCCGGCTCTTTTTAAAGATGGTGGTGACTTTCTGACTAAGGAACTGACGACGTTGTTTACAAAGGTCTGGGAGCTCGAGAGTGTGCCAACGTTATGGAATGAGCCGATAGTTGTCCCTATCTTTAAAAAGGGTTCACTTCGTTCGGATGTTAGACGACTCTCTGTGTTTGATCATCGTTGTCTCCGGAGGATTGCTGACATCCCGTGGCAACACCATGTTAGTAATGCAGAGGTTCGGCATCGTGTGTTCAGGCACAGAGACGATAATGCAATCAATGTCACCATCTTGAAACATCGACTTCGGTGGCTTGGACATGTTCTACGGATGTCGTCCCAGAGAATTCCACGTCGTGCATTATTTGCCGACGCTGGGACTGGTTGGAAGAAGCGGAGAGGTGGTCAGTATATGACATGGTGTCGTGGCATGAAAGAAAGCTGCAAAGGACTGGCTTGTGTTGGTCCTTCACGACTCCCTGACTGGGGTCCGAGAGATGGTGCAACACAGTGGCTAGAGACGTTATCAGATATGGCTCAGAATAGAGGCCAGTGGTGATCCTGCTGTAACCTTTTCTTACTTTCTTCGTAAAAAGTGGTTGTTTCTTCCTTAACTGAAAGATTTCTTCTGATTGTACCTTTTCTTTTCCCCCATTATTGTCATTATTATTATTACTATTTTTACACTACCGTACACTAATCTGTTCGTTATTGTTCTTTTTTTCTCTTCGAATCCTCATTGTTTTGTGTGACGCATATATATTGGCGCTCTCTTAAACCAATATTTGTGTTCAAATAATGAAATAAATAATATTAGATACCTTTTCACAGGTTGAAATCATGAGTCAGTTGAAGCTAGACCACCATCGAAAACCTGGAAGCACTGGACGGCCGTTTCGTCCAGGTATGGGACTCCTCAGCAGTGCGCATCCACGACCCCGCACCACGCGGGGCTCGAACCCAGGACCTACTGGCTTCGCGCGCGAGCACTTAACCACTAGACCACTGAGCCGGCATCCAACTGTGTTAATGTCTAACTTCAACCAATCCACGAAGTTGCGCCACCGTTCATTATCAAGTGGATCTTATCTTGCGGACAGTCAATCGAATTCTTAACTTGACAATCGTTTCCGCTTTCATTTCAAGATCCCTTTAAGAGACCTTATTGATGGCATTATGAGGTCTATAAAGACTTCAACCATCAGAATATTTTCGTGTTCTGCAGTCCACTCTTCTCTTGCTGTGAGGTTAGTTCATAGCGGACAGTTTGTAGGTTCACATCGGACTACCTGCTGTATGGAGAGAAACTTTTATAAGCTAAAGGTACTTTTACATGCAAACTACTCTTTTTGTACAGAAGAGATAGTACCAACCGATCAGTCCACCGATACAATTCACACCTTAGTGAGTGGAGTGTTTGTTCTCTACACATTCGGATGAGATTGAACTTGACCATAGACTATGTCATAGCCTCTGAACTTGTGTGACAAACCTGCATGACAACTATTTGCCAACGGCAGCAAAACACTAAGCATGGATTAGTACTAAGTTCAGTATTAAAGATCCTTGGTTTGAATACCTGGTGAACTAAAACATACTCCATCATAATCATAAAGAGCCGGCTATGGAATCTTGTCGGGGACAAATTTATTTGATTTACACCAGGCTCATCAAAATCACCGGTTTTAATATGTTCTAGTGCAAAATCGTCAATCTAACAATCTGCGCAATCAGATTAATAACTAGAGATTACACAAGCTTTACTCTTATAAGACACAGGTAAAGGGATGTATAGCCAAGAAATCTTTGATGCATAGTAGCGTGTATATGCGTCGTAGTATACTTTTCGTTATCGTAGCACTGTTTTACAAGGTTGTTAGCAGCTTCTTTTCACTGAATATTTGTAATGAGCTATCGGAATCGAAATAATATTGTACCTGAGTAGATAGTCAGTAGTAGTACTGGTAGATTTTATCAATTTGGTTACACTGAGAAAAATAAGGATCTATATAAGACACATTTAGCGCTACTAGTTGACCTCTATCATTTTAAAATTTGGCTTCGGAACTAAGGGTGTCCAGCGGTTCTCCATATTCGTTAATTTTTGTGGCCAGAGGATTTCTCGCATTATGTGCATTACAAAACATGGAGACCAGGATACTGCGCGACAGTCCGTTCTGTTTTAATGTATGGCAGCGAAACATGGCCATTAAGAGTAGAAGATACTCGTAAGCTACTAGTATTTGATCACAGATGCCTTAGAAATATTGCTGGCATCTGCTGGGATCACCGGGTAAGTAATAGTGAGGTTAGACGCAGGGTATTAGGGAATGATCGTAAATCAGTTGACGAGGTTGTGAATCTTCATCGACTGAGATGGTTGGGCCACGTGTTACGTATGCCTAAACACCGATTACTACAACGTGCAATGCTAACCGGTGCTGGAGATGGTTGGAAGAAAGTTATGGGCGGCCAAACCAAAACGTGGCATCAGTGCTTGAAGGCACTAACCTCTAGTCTGAGCCATGTTGGGAGATGCAGACTACTTGGTTGGGGTCCGCATGACAATCTTAACCAATGATTGGAAACTCTTGGTGACATGGCTCAGAATCGATTACAATCGCGTCGGTGTATACACTCTTTGTCTTCCCTTAAACTAAGAAATTAAAATCGCTTCATATATTTTTTTCTACTAACTAATTCTTTCTTCCTATACTCTATCCTTATTACAATCTTTCTTTTGTATATTACCACCTCTGAACTAACTACTTTTATGAATCCGGTGTCCATCTTGTGTTAATAAGGTATGGCAACCTGGACCGATGCATATATGTGCCTGGTCCTACGTTGTAGCTGACTGACTGACCAGGATAATGTTTATATCATTATTTTTAAAAATTTCCATTAGTAACTTATCATTAAACAGTTTTATTATTTACCTCCCTCCAAGATATAAAAGGATTACAAACTGTTGGCATAATTGCATATAACAATCTGAGGAAGTCTGCTTAACTTCGGACAGTCCACAAAATCTTCTGATTTAGTCTGCGGGTACAAATTTAGTAAACACCAAGGTTGAATGTGCAAGTATGACAGCTACTACAAAGCCTCGTCGAGCATCTGCCAAAGCTTGTCTCAAGGCCATATGTGGACTTACTGCTCTCCAGAACTCTGATGATAGCTCAATATCTGAAAATATTGAAAGTGAGATGTCAGACTATGTTGTTGGAAGTGGGGACAATAATATCACTACCGAAGAGAGTGATTCGAATAGTGCAGATAAAGCTGAGATATCTAACGATGCCAAACTCTCATCAGAAAATTCGTCGTCAACAGGCTCGCTTATTGATGAACCATGTCGTAAAAAATCATCAAGTAAAGCTCATCGTCCTGTTTTGAGTGACAAAGGATGTTTGAGATCTCCTTTCGTAAGATATATGAGGTCTTGTCGTGGTCATATTGATCGTGATCCCAGATCTGTAGCTCCTGCGAAATTTCTGCAGTCAATAGATTCACTAAAACATATGTTCAGTAATACGCAAAATCCATTTCTGTTTTGTCCCAGGTAATAATCGCTTAATTGTCATACTTTTTACTAGTGGATATAAGTCACAGTTTATGTGTCGGAAAAAGGCTTTATTTCCAACCTCGGGTGCGTGGGTACGATCACCTATTTAGTAAGTTACTTGTTTCCAATGAACCAACATTATAGTATCAAAAAGGATCACCTTCCAGAGCCTCCCATCAGCCCTATATATTTATCTGACGAAGTAAATACAGTTAAATTAAAACGGTTCGAATTTGACAAGGGTATGTTGCTAAACAGCTTAATAAATAGATTTTAGGTTCAAATTTAGTATATACTGGTGGAGCAGTAACTTGTTTGTCATGGTGTCCTCCTCGTCTTTCTTCACTTCTGGATTCTGAATCAATTGTAAATGAATGTTCGTTTCTTGCGACTTCTTCTATTTTAACACCAGATTCACAAACACTTTATTCTGATAAGATGGCGAGTTGTCCTGGATTAATACAGATATGGAATTGTGGGGCTTTAGGTCTAACAGAAGTGTAAGTTTACTTTTTCATAGGAGTTCATTCGATAATTTCGTTGAATTAAACTTTTTGTTTATGCGCATGAATAGAAAAAATATACTATGGTAATAATGCTATTAATATAAGGACATTGATTTTGAAGGTCTTCTGTTATTGCAGCAGTGTATGTACGGCGAATCTGCACAGGTACTGCAGCCAAGTTTTTATGAAAGTATTCACTGATGCGAGTGACCAACTTTCATTAAAAATCATAATAGATGTAAATCTCGATTTCCTGTCCCAATTGTTTTAGTCTCTACCACTTGTCAGTTTACTTATTTCATAAATAAATATGGATACAGGTGGGCACAAAAATCAGTACAAAGCACACAAATAATGAAACAAAGTTGTGAGTAGATTGGGGGAAAGTAGTACAAACAAAAATAACTAAGAAATAGGTCGTTGAGAAGTGTATGCTTAGAGATGAAGTTCACTTAAAAGCACAACCGAGAAGATTTTTTCTCAGTTAGAGAAGTTCCTTTCACTTTTAAGAAGAATGTAAAGGAAGTACAGTGGGACAATCTTTGGCTCTGACTTTGAGTTATGTCCGATGGCGTCTTAAGTCATCGAGTTGTACCATATGTATGACACCAACCGGGAGTTTTTGTTAAACTTATACTATTATGTGAAAGATTTTAACTTTTTGGTAGTTAAACTGCATACATCAGTTACACTATGAAAAGCTAAATGATAAAAGGAATTTCTCACTATTAATGGGTCGTTTCATTTTCCAGGATTTTGATATTAATCCACTCTTTGGTTATGTCGGATGCATTGACTTGTTTGAATAAAATAGTATAATATTGTCAGTGATAACAATTCGATAGTCGTGATTGTAAGGCCGATCATCTTTAAGTATCATTCGAAGCACTTTCAAGACGAAACAGTTTGTTATCGTGTGATTGATGTTGGATACTTTTATACATTATGTGGTACAATACTCAAAAATGCAAGTATTCGTAATGATGTGAGTTTATGCTATCTTAGATGATGAAATGATATTGACTTTTCATACTTGTGGGCATACAAAAAATCAGTTATTTTACAAGATATCATTATACATCAGTTACTGTTTAGATTTCACTCAACTTTAGTTCGATAGAGTAAGAGGAACTATTTCTCAGTAGTGTACGTATATTCATTTTTGATGTTGATCACTTTGTCTATTGGCTTCAATGTCCCCTCATTTTTGACTAATTTTATTCAATATTAGGTCAAGTACTTTAAACCCTGAAATTCACTTTATCATTTCACATGATTGGGGTCGAATTACTGATATGTGCTGGATACCAGTTTCACCTTTTTCGGGCATTAAAGAACTAGTGACAAAGGCTTGTTCGTATGGATCATGCATAATAACTATTCCCGAAGTAGATCGAGTTCTTGGTCATTTAATTGTTGCTTGTCAAGATGGCTTTATTCGTATATTATCTATACCAACTTGTCCAATGAATTTTGGGTTCGAGAATTCATCTGCTTCACAATTCGCTTATACACTTTCGAAAAATTGTTACCTCACACTATCCCCATCTGTGAAAGGTATCGTTTATTCGGATAATTGACTGTTATTTTAATTAGGTGTAGTGTAGATGATTTATCAAAATAGAAACCGTCTTCACGGGCTTACTGATAAATATTGATTTCTGATAAAGATCATGAATCGATCAATGGTAATCTATCATTGATCGATTCATGATCTCAATAATCTCCATAATCCCATACTGATGATACCTGATAATTTAAATTCTCAAATACCGTCGAGGATTCTTTTATGACTAGATTGTATTATGTTATTTTTCATCATCTATTCCATTTAGATGTATTGACTTTCATTAGGAATTGTATCAACTCAATAATTTGTTTTACACATTATTCCAAATCAGCAAAATCACTTATTTGTCACCTTATAAAATCCACGTAGCCTTGTTTACTGCTGATACTCAGCTAGATTATTTAAGCTGAGACGCTTTCATTTTGTGGGTGATTTATTACAGTAAATAGACTGGATGTCAATAAAATTAAGGGCATCAGTTCGTATAGATTGGAAAGAACATTATCGGAATGTAAGAAATTCAAGTTCTAAATACCATAGTGTTTAGAAACACTGACGTTGCTGGGCTGGAAAGGCCTATGTCTATTATAATGTTCGAATCCGTAACCCAACGTTTTTATTATTTTATTTGAACACATAAACATTGATAATAAGAGAGCGCCAATATATATGCGTCACACAAAACAATGAGGATTCGAAGAGAAAAAAAGAACAATAACGAACAGATTAGTGTACGGTAGTGTAAAAATAGTAATAATAATAATGACAATAATGGGGGAAAAGAAAAGGTACAATCAGAAGAAATCTTTCAGTTAAGGAAGAAACAACCACTTTTTACGAAGAAAGTAAGAAAAGGTTACAGCAGGATCACCACTGGCCTCTATTCTGAGCCATATCTGATAACGTCTCTAGCCACTGTGTTGCACCATCTCTCGGACCCCAGTCAGGGAGTCGTGAAGGACCAACACAAGCCAGTCCTTTGCAGCTTTCTTTCATGCCACGACACCATGTCATATACTGACCACCTCTCCGCTTCTTCCAACCAGTCCCAGCGTCGGCAAATAATGCACGACGTGGAATTCTCTGGGACGACATCCGTAGAACATGTCCAAGCCACCGAAGTCGATGTTTCAAGATGGTGACATTGATTGCATTATCGTCTCTGTGCCTGAACACACGATGCCAAACCTCTGCATTACTAACATGGTGTTGCCACGGGATGTCAGCAATCCTCCGGAGACAACGATGATCAAACACAGAGAGTCGTCTAACATCCGAACGAAGTGAACCCTTTTTAAAGATAGGGACAACTATCGGCTCATTCCATAACGTTGGCACACTCTCGAGCTCCCAGACCTTTGTAAACAACGTCGTCAGTTCCTTAGTCAGAAAGTCACCACCATCTTTAAAAAGAGCCGGAGGTAAGTCGTGTGGACCAGGTGATTTGTAGTGCTTCAAGAGTTGGAGTTCCCTGAGGACTTCCGCCTCATTTGGTGGATCAGTCGTCACCGGCCATGGAGGGCAGGACAGTTCGATCGATGTTGCCGGAACAGCAGTCCAGTTGAACTGCCCTTCGAAGAATTCTGCCCATCGTCCAAGACGTCGATGAATGCTAGTGATTGGCATCCCGTCATCCTCGCAGTTTGTTTCGCTCACTCCAGACTTCTTGCTGCCAGTGGCTCAGATGAGTTGGAAGAGCCTCCGGTAATTACCAGATGCAGCTGCTGCTTCCAGCTCATTAGCACGCTCCGACCACCAGGCTTCTCGGTCCTTACACAAGCTTTGCCCGATTTCATTACGTAACATCCTTCGTTTGTGGTCAAACTCACGGTCACTCGGAGTAGACCGACGAGCGTCGATGAGTTGTAAGGAACCAGAAGAAACCCAGTGCTTATAAGCGGGACGTTTCGCGAACCCACAACTGACTGTACTCGCCATTTTCATGGCGTCACGCAATCGCAGTCAATGCTCATCTATACTTGTCGGTGGAATGGTAGCTAGCCTAGAAACTAGCTCGGCTCAATACTCACCTGCAACAGAAGTTGCAACCAGCTCGCTAACATCAATCCGTTGGTGGTGGTTACTTCGTTGTCCACTGAAAAGTAAGGCAAGATTGGCGCAGACCAAGGCATGGTCAGAGTCCAGATAGGTACTCCAAAAGGAGCGGCAGTCTTGTACACAACCACGCCAGCGGTAGCTGATCGTGATATGATCAATCTGAGTCCAGGCTTGAGATGCAGAGAGAGGACGCCAGGTGGCACATCGGCGATGACTGTGCCGGAAGTTAGTGCTAGCCAGAAACAGGTTGTGGTCTGTGCACAGTTGCAGTAGACGGTCCCCGTTATCTGACCTGCGACCAACGAGTCCCCATCGGCCACCTAAACGATTCTCTTCTGTGCCTAGACGCCCGACGTGAGCATTCAAGTCTCCGGCTAGTACTACAATATCTGTCGAACGCACTTTCTGGAGAAGAACAGTTAACTGGTGGTAGAATTCATCCTTGATTGCATCCGGGCTGCAATCTGTCGGGGCATAGGCGGAGATGACGAAAAGACATCGTTTCTCACGCCGATTTCTTCTCACTTTGATGGAACTTTCTAATCTAACAGCACATAACTGACTATTAATTGAGATCCAATCGATTAGTGGTGCCTTAGCTCTAGCGCTTAGTGCGACACTAACGCCAGAAAGACCAGACGAAGATGCCACAGGGTCCCCCGGTAAACGCACGTAAAACAAGCTTTTTGAAGCGAGAGATGGAGAGCGAATTTGTAGTACTTCACCAGAGTCTTGAATACGGGTCTCGGATAGACAACAAACATCGATATTAAGATTTTCTAAAGACATAGCCAGCCCTATCTGTTGTCTGACCTGCATAAGTGTGCGAACGTTGAAGGTAGCCAGTTTGAATGTTGCACGTGGTTTCAGAAAAACTGCTCCAGCACTCATATTCGGTGGCAACACAATTTTCAACCGGACAGTGACTCGAGAACGTTTAGATAGAGTCGGATTTCCACCAAAGACGAGCTGCTGTATAAGTCGAAAAATAAGTATAGACAGAGTAGGAATAAAAGGGGAAGAATAATGATGTAGTAATTTAATTAATTAATTAATTAATTAATAATAATAATAATAATAATAATTTGAATCATTTGATTGTTAGTTGAAGCAAGAAAAGTAGTTTCCATAATTATAAACAGTTCATCATTTGTGTGTGGGCTGTGATACTGCCCGGGTGCCCAGACCGAAGCAGGTGGTTGTCTTAGGGGGCCACACCCCGAGCCTTTGACCTAAAGGTCTAACCCACAAGGCAGTGGAGGATCGTGAAGAGATGCAGTCCCATGGTAGCCGGTGACCAACGATTGGTTCATACGCCATTTATTCCCTCAGGGTACTGGGGCCCATGTGCATCATTGATTTGGGATCCGGTTAGAGCGCCGAACATTCGCTTTTCGTCCTCTCATTTTTGTAAACAACACTCCCGCCACGAGAAGTCAGTGAGTAGGACTTCCCTGGCAGAGGCTGTATACACGCGGCTGTGTGAGAGCATTTCGAGAGGGAGGGCGAACCCACCCAGCTCTCGGCCATACCAGGGCATTTGGGGGCTACGCTATATTTAGTGGGATGCAAAAGTGACAGTGTGAATCATATAATGGCGAGATCCATTTCTGCGTTAAACACTATAGAGTAAGACATGAAAATAAAAGTTAATTTTTGGTGGATCTTCTTCACTGACAATCAAGGAAAAAATAGAATCTGAAACACCGTAGCACTTCAAGTTGCCACACTTCATATCAGCTCAATAATGGATGATTGTTAAGAAAGAACGTTGACACATGATATTAGTAATATTTAACAGATAAGAGAAAAAAAAGACAGTTAACAGTGAATGACATTTCGTCACGTGATGTTAAAGGTTTAAAGTGAGATAAGTGGAGCCTTCGCTGTACCATAATATTTTTTTGCAGTACAAAGTTAGTAAAGGGTTTCGACTGTTGGTTTCAATTGTTTTGCAGAAGCCTACATCGTCTAGACTAATAGTTAGACACTGCTATACTTTAATCTAGTCAGTCAGTATTTTCTTAAACTAACGTCCAGACATTGAAAGACTTGGCAGTTAGTTGCTGAATGTGCGTAACGTACGATACATATATGTATAATTTGCAGCAACGGTTTTCAAGCACTCAATAACAATATAGTAATAAGTGCTAATGGTTGTTTAATTTGATTAACTTTGTTCGTCAGTTCATTTAACTTGTGTCAGATATGTCAATATGAATTTAATTTATGTGTACATATAGCAGTTTGATTCCTTTAATTTCACAGAACATCCTCATTGGGTTGGTTGGCCAACGTGTACACATATTCGCCGTGAATTCCCAGATCGCCTTTTTGTTGGTTATACCACAGGTAAGAAAGTGATTCTTATGCTATATCATGTTTTATTTTAGTAAATGTAATCGTCTAGCAAATTGATAAAGTATATATTTTGCCAAGCATAATAAGGATGTTTACTAGTTTAGGACAACTGATTCTGTTTTAGTATTGAAATCCGTGACTTAACGGTGTGACCAAAACGTTTGAAGCCATTTAGCTACCATTTCCAACTGCCTACACTTTAAGTGGGCTATGCTTTCTATAAACTTGAGAGAGCAAGCTAGTATTACCATGCTGTCTCTTTGAGACAGAGGTATTTATCGATGATTTATACTTATCACTTTCAAATATTGTATTTTAGACGAGAAATTTACTTTTGATTACTTCTTTAACCATAACTTTTCATACTTTAGTACTTTACCTTCACGAAAGTCATTTCACTAAACTTTTTATATTTGGTTAATATACTCTTTGAGAGTGGTTTTTATTATCACCTGACATTAATTACAGAACTATTAACGATCAAAAAGCACTGGATAGCTATTTTATTCTATCGCGCAGATCCTCTGTACCGCACACCATAATTTACTTATGAGCTCAAATTCAAGACCTCAGTTCATAGTGTAAACGTAATAAGTAATGTAGATAATTTGTCAGTTATATACTCCCTTGTCTTTGAAATTAAACTCTGATACTTATTTTTCTAGAATAATTTACCATCAAACTTTGTAAAGCGTATTAACAATTATTAAATAGAAAAATTGTAGTTAAGACTAAAGTTCATATGTATCAACCATTTAACTGTTAATCTTAACTTACGTTTGTGATTTACACGTGAATTATTCAGTATTCAACTGTTTAAAACTTACTATTATATTACGCTACAAGTATATGAATAAAGATTTTTTTTCGGTAAATTGTCATAAGGTTCTGCAGTTATCAGTCCAAATTAATATTTCATAAAATCCTCACATTTGACAAACACATACATCATTCAAAAGTTACATCTAAATTTAAAAGTGTAAAATCAAATCGAATTGTTAATCTTTAAATGACTAGGATGTGATGTTAACTTGAATTAGTTAAGAAGTCAATCAAAACTGTGGGGAGAGTTAGTTCTCCCTCTCGAAATGCTCTCCCATGGCCACGTGTATACAGCCACTCACACGGAAGTCCTACTCAGTGAATTGTTGCTGCGGGGGTGTTGTTTACGAAATTAAGAGAACGAAAAGCAAATGTCCAGCGCTTTAACCGGGTTGGTGGATACGGAGGGTTCACCTGCGGGAGGTGGAAAAACCCTGATTCCAAACCAATGGTGCACAAGGGCCTTAGGACCCAGAAGGAACAAATGATGTATTGACCTATTGGTGGTCACTGGCTACCATGGGACTGAATCTCCTGACGTTGCTCCACTGCACTGTGGATTAGACCTTTAGGTCGAGGACTCCGGGTGTGGTTGTCTAGGACAACCACTTGCTTCGATCTGGGCACCCGATCAGCATCACAGCGAGATAAACGAACAAATTGCCTAGACTAGTCACCCTCATTTTTGTTGATCAATTCAACTGTTCCTATGGTGCAAGTTATATCTACCGATGTCCTAGAGCTGTATATGATAATTTTATGGGTTCCTGGTGTTGAAGAAATCCCGAATCCCGACCGTTGTTGCTACCTTGACGTGGTGGTCAGGCTCACCTATCGTGATGAAGCAACCGAGCTATACTGGTTGGAACAACCATTCCTCAAGGTCCTACCATGTCAGACAGGTCGATTGAAGAGAGGTAAGGCCAAAAGCAACAAACCCAAGGTCCGAAGGCGAAGTTGTACTGCTGACTGTACAGAGGTGTGACAGTAGTAAGGTGTTTCCTTCAGACAACCAGCATGACAGCGATGCTGCCTTCCCACAAGGAGGGGTGGGGTTAGAAAAGGTCGACCCTAAAAATGTTACACCTCACCTTACCTCACGGATTTCCGTCTCCGGCGGTAAGTCCCTTTGAAGAACGGAGCTAACACGTCAAAAAAAACCCACGAAAAGGCCGTGCGCGACCGGCCTCAAGCAGTTGTCCCTTGGGCACTGCGGTCACGCTCTCGGGTCACTGAGACCACTTCTAATCCAATTTCCTTTTCAGGTACCTCCAGAAGAACCCTTCCACGGTGTGGGCAACCGGGAAGTGATAACCGCCCTCATACCTCTAACAGCACGCAAGACCACTGTATTCATAATCAACCTTCCTCTTCAATTCCTATTATTCCTCCTACATCGACTTTCAACCCTAAACCTCCTCCTTCGGCTTCCTCCTCAAGTGTCACCATAGCCAACGATTCTACTGCTCAAAACTCTGTCCCAGGTCTACTGAAACCTCGCTCCAAACTACACATTGGAGCTTTCAACGTACGCACTCTATGTCAAATCGGTCAGCAGGCTTCATTGGCTAAAACCCTAGAGTCTCTTTCCATTGATGTATGCTGTGTCTCCGAAACACGCATACAGGATTCCAGTGTGGTCATTCACTTGATCTCACCTCGGCAAAACGGAGAGCCAACGAGATACACACTCCGTGTATCTGGTGACCCTATGGCCAGTTCTCGTGGACTGGCAGGTGTAGGCATAGCACTAAGCATGAGGGCGGAACAAGCACTGCTAGAGTGGATCCCCGTCAACAGTCGCCTATGTGCTGTTCGGCTAAACGGCTCCGTAAAAACTCGGAAGGATAGGGACACACGTCGTTGCCTTTTTATCGTTTCTGCCTACGCTCCCACTGACTGCAGCTCGGATGATGTGAAAGATGAATTTTACAGAAAACTGTCCGAACTTCTTCAGAAAGCTAAACGCTCAGACATAGTACTCGTAGGGGGTGACTTTAATGCTCAGATAGGTAGCTTAAAGCAAACAGAAAGGCATTTAGGTGGGTATTTTAGCATTCCGGCACAGCGAACAGATAATGGTGACCGTCTGCTGCAACTATGCTCAGACAATCGCTTATTTTTAGCAAACACAAATTTTAAGCATAAAGAGAGACATCGTCTAACCTGGCGACCGCCTGCACCAAACCAACGATGGACTCAAATAGACCATATTGCCATCAGTCATCTTTGGAGAGGGTCGGTACAAGATTGTCGCTCATTCTGGAGTACCTGCTTGAACTCCGACCACGCCCTAATACGGGCACGCATTTGCTTGCGCCTCACTGGACGCAAAAAGGCCACAGTAAAAAGACCCATTAGAACCGAACTGAGTAACGAGGAAACCAAAAGTAGGTTCCAGGAACAACTGAGGTCACGGTTAGGCAGTTCTGAAGACGAGGCTGACCCAGATGTTGCTTGGAATGAAATACAAGCAGCTGTGGAAACAGCAGTGACATCTATTAGCGACTTAAACCACAGAGTTTCAAAGAACCAGTGGATTTCTTCAAAGTCTATCACACTGATGGATTCTCGCAAACTCGTCCCATCAGGTTCTGAACATGATGAAGAGCGACAACAAATCAGATCTAGGTTAAGAAAAAGTCTAAGAAACAACCGTGAGCAGTGGTGGGCAACGAAAGCAAAAGAGATGGAAAAGGCGGCGACTATAGGGAACACAAGACAGCTTTACAGACTAATAAAAGAAACTGGAATTAATAAGTCAAGTGTAAGTAAGATTATATCGGAAAAAGACGACACCCTCATCTGCTCTCAGTCCAGACGTTTAGAACGATGGGCGGAACATTTCAGAGAACAGTTCAGCTGGCCTTCAGCTACTCTACAACTACCCTCCATTCCCAGACAGTGTGAAGGGAACATTGAAGTAGGCCCTTCAACTCTTGCTGAAGTTGAGAAGGCTATAGTTAATCTGAAACGAGGAAGGGCAGCTGGTCCAGATGGATTGGCTCCAGAGGTCTTTAAGGATGGTGGTCCAATTTTAGCGATTAGGTTGAGTAATATTTTAGCTAAGATCTGGGAGTTAGACGTTATTCCATCTGACTGGTCACAATCACTTATCGTCCCAATATATAAGAAAGGGTCAAAATCATCCTGTGACAACCATAGAGGGATTAGTTTAACTAATATAGTATCTAAAATACTAGCCTCGATAATTATCAGACGCCTAACTAAGACTCGTGAACTGCAAACACGAGGAAATCAGGCTGGCTTTAGACCTGGTCGTGGCTGCATCGACCACATATTCACCATTCGTCAGATTCTAGAACACGGGCATACTTATCGGCGTCCGACAATGGTGGTCTTTCTCGACTTAAAAGCAGTATTTGACTCTGTAGACCGAGAGGTTCTGCAGCAATGTCTGTCATTGAAAGGCGTTCCTCAGAAGTACATAAACCTTGTGAAGGCTCTTTACTCGAACACTACTAGTCGAGTCAGAGCTTATGGCGAACTGTCATCTGATTTTGCAACCTCAAGTGTTGTCCGTCAAGGCTGTCCACTTTCCCCATTTTTGTTTAACTTCATCATAGATCTACTGATGGAAATAACTTTCTCGTCGACTGAGTTCTCGGGTATTGATCTCCTACCAGGAGGTCCACTTATCGACTTAGAATACGCAGATGACATAGTCCTGTTTGGTGAAGACGCTGATAGAATGCAGAGTCTTTTGGTAGCACTGAACAACAATGCCAGAATGTTTGGAATGCGCTTCTCTCCCTCTAAATGCAAGTTGTTGCTTCAGGACTGGTCTACGTTAACATCTGAACTAAGGATAGGGAGTGAAATAGTCGAAGGTGATGACAACTTCACTTATCTTGGAAGTCTGATCAGCCCTAATGGGTTGGTATCGGACGAAATCTCAGCACGGATTCGAAAAGCTCGTTTGGCTTTTGCCAACTTGCGTCACTTATGGCGAAGGCGAGATATCCGTCTATCAATAAAAGGACGAGTATACTGCGCGGCAGTCCGTTCTGTTTTAATTTACGGCAGCGAAACATGGCCATTAAAAGTAGAAGACACTCGTAAGCTATTAGTATTTGACCACAGATGCCTTAGAAATATTGCTGGCATCTGCTGGGATCACCGGGTAAGTAATAGTGAGGTTAGACGCAGGGTATTAGGGAATGATGGTGAATCAGTTGATGAGGTTATGAATCTTCATCGACTGAGATGGTTGGGCCACGTATTACAAATGCCTGAACACCGACTACCCCGACGTGCAATGCTATGCGGTTTTGGAAATGGTTGGAAGAAAGTTATGGGCGGCCAAACCAAAACGTGGCATCAGTGCTTGAAGTCACTAAATTCTAGTCTGAGCCATGTTGGTAGATGCAGACTACTTGGTTGGGGTCCGCGTGACTATCGTAACCAATGGTTGGAGACTCTTGGTGACATGGCTCAGAATCGATCACAATGGCGTCGGTGTATACACTCCCTGTCTTCCCTTAAACTAAGAGATTAAAATCACTTCATATCTTTCTTTCTACGAACCAATTCTTTCTTCTTGTACTTTATCTCTATATGCAATCTTTCTCTTACATGCTATGAATCCGGTGTTCATCTTGTTGTGCTGATGCGGTATGGCAACCTGGACCGATGCACATATGTGCCTGGTCCTACGTTGTAGCTGACTGACTGACTGAGAAATTCCGAATTGTTGTGACTACAGTTCATTAGTGTACCGTAATTTTGGGTATTTCTTCAAATTTTATGAGTTCTTGGTGAAATAATTCAAATGTGACAACTTGGAAGAAAGCATTTACCATCAAAACCCTAAGCATTAGTTTTAAGACTCATCATCGTGGCTGATTCACTCATTACCTGTGCTATTTATCATATCTATACCGACTTTTTGAATTATCTTTCTATATTCAGGTTATGTAGGCTATTACAATTTAAGTAGTCTTAATGATTTGGTTTATTCGCCTCAGTATAATCATTTAGCTCCAGTGAAAATGTCACGTCTAACAAGCAGTCCGATCACAGCATTGTCTCTCCATCCTCTTAATGGAAAAATGTTGTATGTACAAGGTAAGTACATGTATTATTATTATTATTATTATTATTATTATTATTATAACCATATTTAGTAATTTAACTTTTAATCCCATGTCTATTTAATTTTACCAAACGAATTGAGTCTTAGAGATAATAAATTTTGTTAGTTGAAGGCCATAGATGAGAGGTTTTTAAAACTGTCATAACAGCGTAAATACTCCCACTTTTTACTATCCTCTAAATGTTCAACAGTCAGTTAATCATCATTAGCGTTGAGCCTGGAACAGGTGTGTGTTTGTCTAGGTTGCTGTACAACATCAATATAACGAAAGAATATCAAAATGGATCGAAATAATGTAGTAGCTATGATAATTAGATATACGGAACATCGGAAATAGGGTTCTAAAAGTTAGTAAAATGATTATGTATTAAGTAACGTAGGAATTCAAGTTCTAGAGGAAGACATACAGTAAATGCATCTGCTTTGTTGTGAAAAATTCTGAGCCATGTCATCTGTAGCCTTCAACCACTGATTACCATTATCACACAGACTCGAACCTGGTAATCCACATCTGCCAATATAGCTCAAAACGAACAGTCTATGATAGTCAAATGTTGAACATGTTATTATTTATTTCACTTTCTTTCATTCCTTTTTTTTTAAATCTACGATATTTTTTCTTCTTTTAACTTTTACTTCGTTTATGTTATCAATTCTAACCGCTTGAATCTAATAACTTTATTTAATTGGTTTTACGTTATTGTATTTTTATTTTCATTAGGTTATTTATTACATCTTTTAGTGAAACTTAAATTTAATCTTACAAATTATACTTATAATCTACAGAACGACGTTTATTTTGATTTATTCTGTTGATGAGAAAACTTTGGGAAGTAATTCCATTAATGATTGTCTCACCATTGCAGAAGTTAAAAATGAACTATTTCTAGTTGTTTGATCTTTTTAAATATATAAATTATTGAAATTGTTCAACTATTAACCCCAAGTAAAAATAAGCAATTTTAGTTGTATCTGTTTGTATCAATCAGTATGTTTAACTGACATTGGAATTTTTTAATCAACTTTTACCACTAACATGTGTACTCTTTTTCGTAATTCATTGTTTTATCTATAAAACTTGGTCATCTCTGCTCTTACGTCAGTCTCTGACCACCTTTATGTATTACATGTCGTCTGATCTAACAAAAAGTTTTGTAAATGTTTAACCAAATGATTAAGTGTGACAATAGGCTACATACAACCCTCCCTAAAGATGCTGTGGATATTAGCTTGTCTTATATTGCTACAAAAATCTATAGATTCCTACAGATTTCCACGAGAAAAATTTAATTAAAATTAAGGTAGATGTTTCCCTCATTTTTATAAAATCCATGAATTATAGTATAAATGTTCCTTAGGTAGTGTTTAGATACATATTAGTATTAAGTTTATTTTGTCGGAGTAGTTTTCAAATCAAGATATTTACTGTTATCAAATAATTGGAAATACGTTTATTTAAACCGGAATTTTCTGATGTTTATGTGTAGCTCGTGTTAATGAGTCACAAAGAAGGATCAATGATAGATCCTGGTTTCTATCTTTAGATGCTTCAAACTACCTAATAACCTTGATCTCATAAATCCAATGTCATCTTATTTGCTGTCCAAAAACTCGTATAGATTTTTGTTTCTATTCATATACATTAGGGTTTAAACATCAACTCTGACGTTAAACATTTATCCAACTTTCACATCATACTTTTGTACATGTTATTGTTATTTGTTATTATTCAGGCTTAGAACGTATCGGTGGTGTCTGGGATTTGAATGACTCTGTATGTTTCACTTCCGAGTCAGCTGAAATCAGTTGGAATCCAGTACGTGGTTTTATGGGACGTGAAGGAATGTGGATTTGTAATGGTGAATTTTTAGTTGGTTCACGTGAAACGTGGTTTACTTCGACATCATGTAAAAACACTCAATTTCCCAAGTGGTCTGCATTATTTGATACTATGGATAACTGTATTGGTCAGTATTTACCTGCTGAACCAACTGATAGTTGTAGCCATTTAATACCATTAGGAATCCAGTCACTCACGGTAAGAAAACCTCATTTTGGAAATGCCTAATGACATAAAATAAATATAATCTTGTATAAATGACTGATTTCATTCATTTGTCTCAAGATTTATAATTCATCACTAACAATTACTCAGTCGGTCAAACACAAAACGCTCAATTGTAATTTCAAGCCTACACGCATTAATGCTTGTTACCCAACTTACACCTTAACATGTTATGATACTTCCAGATAAAAATTTTAATTTCAAGTTTAGTTTTGAGGAGTTTTTGAGATAAAAAAATCTCAAGCAACCGTTTTCTAATATTTTATTATATACTATTAAATCGTTCGGAAATTAGGATCAAAACTGCTAAAAATCGCCTCTGAACTGGTTTCTTGTACAGCTTCTACAAAGTATAAACTCAACCTAAGTTATAAAAAATAACCAAATTAAGATGTCGATCAATTCACTCATGATTAATTACCATAGCGTAGAGGAAGCTGCTTAATTGTTATCATTTATAGCTATAAATCTTTAATAATGCAAAGTGTGATTTACAATCAGACTGATGGTAAGCAGTATATTACAACAATTAGTTAAATGGTTGTATAAAACACGTCTTTGAAATGATAGTTTTAAATTGTTTACAGGAATCAATGTCTCAACGTCTTCGGACTTCCACTTTGATGTCGATGATTTTATATCCTATATATATACCAATGATACAGTTTTTTAACTTCACAATCTTTCACTTGATTTTGTAATGGATATTAGATATCTGGTCTGCTTTATTCTTCAATCCCTTATTGTGTTTATGGAAGCAGTTTTAGTAATTCATAATGTACAAGACTATTACTTCTACTCATGTTGTTATTCCCGTTCAACCAGCGTTCATGATATTATACGGTCTTAAAAAAAAGCATTTCACCCAGTTCACCCGGACTAAATTGTTGTTACGGGTGAGTTCAACCGTCAAGTAGAGTGAAAGCTGACAGTCGAAAATTAGATCCAGAACCTGAGTTTTCTGTGTTGCGAAACTTAACATTTAACCATTGAACCTCCATTCATTGATTTGCACTTTTCGACTTCATTCAAGTTATGTACTGTAGCGCAAATGATAATGCTTAGTAAATTCCGTTAATATAAATATTGTGACCGTCTTATAAGGAAGTCTGATTCTTCTGACGAAGTTGGAATTACAAGCATATACAAATGAATGTTTGTCTCACTTTACTGTTGTTTGGCTAGATATGAATCATATAATTATTATTTAATACCTGAATGCTTAGTTGCTTGTATGATACCCTGAAAGCCTCCTTTTATTGCTGAACAGTTCTTAACTACAAAGAAACAACTACATTGTGCTTAATAATTTTCAATAGCTTTCACGTTAATCAAATTTCTGAGTGACTTAATTTAATATTCTGAATTGTTTCAATGGTAAGCAAGCTTTTGCTTCATGTTTGTTACTGTCGATTAATTTATTGAAAATTTTAGGGAAATATATCAGGTTAATATATCTCAAAATTGAACGGAAACTGAACATTAAACACAACATCTGTCATGATGTTGCTCCTCGTAGGGTTGAGATATTTCTTTAAAAATATGTGTGATGGATATTAATATTTTACGGAATACGTAGAGTCTATTGTAAATTAAATTAAAATAGGTCACTGATATAGCCTGAGATATTTTACTGAATTCTTATTAACCTTAATCTTATAACTATATTAGTGTTTGCCAGTCTACATAGTTATACTCGGCTCACACCACAACTCATAAGTTGTTCACTTGTTTGCTGAATACGAACGATGCTAGTCTATACAAAAACTATAGAGGAATGAGGATATTTACATCCTATATGTTTACGCTTATTAGTAGAGAGATGCAAACATTATCTACTGGGATGCAATTCGAAGTCCGAATATATATTTATATATATATCACCAGAAGTTCAAGAATCCGAATTATTTTAATCATACTGTACTCATGAGTAGACTGCCATTATCAAATGAAAGTGATATCATAGTGGTGTATTTATTGTCTTTTTCGAAGCTTGACAGAATACATTAAATCAAAGATTTGACATTTTGCACGATGAAATTCTTTTCAATTGTTGCAATTGACTTCTTTTTATCGTTAATCATTGTTATTATGTACATAGATATTCAAAATTCAACTTGTAGGCGGATTTGTAAATTGATTTAGCTGGATGTATACATTTGTTTATGATTGGTTGATTTGATCACAAATAAATAAATGTGTTTTTCATGTTTCATGTGTTTCGTTGTTGTGAAAACTCTAACCACATTGATTATTTCATAGTTGTTGTTTTCTTTCTGTTTTTGCAAGTTTTCGAAAGACATTGTTGCTATTATCTCGAAATTTACTTTTCTTTTGTTTATTTTTTCCATGTACTCATCTGTACATTGGCTAATAGAGTGTGGATTTCAGTGATTCTCTCAATGCACTTGTGTGTAGTACGGACAGAGGACGTATTGAAGTGATTGCTGAGTCTGTAGAGAAGCGAAAATGTGACCCGTCACGTCCAAGATATATTCCTGAGGTTAGATTGTTGAAGAAAATTCCCATTTTTTTACTTTAAATTTACTTGTAGAGATACTTGTGAATATATATCCACGTATATCCTTATATATAAGTGATTGACAGTAATTAAAGTATGTTATTATTTTTTTGTCCATCATGAGGAACGTTTTTGGCTATGCATTAATCAATAATATGTTTTAGGTATTCGAAGTCAGTTGGTGGTGAAGCCATAATATTGATTATGTGATTAACTCAGTAGTATAAAACAGGTTGTGGCCTGAAATAATCAATTCTGCATTCAGATCTCAGCGGTTAAATCAACGCAAATGACGATAAATCTAACCGAGTCCAAAAATAAATCGTAACATCCATCCTTGATTGGACTGGTTCCCACATTCTAAGCATATAATAAAACTTTTGAATATGACTGTTAACACTCACGAATATGATACTCTTATGCAGACGTCTGTTGGCTTTTAAATTCTAACTGCCTTTACTGTATCGCTCATTACCTGGGGAATATATTTTTAGGACCTGTTGGTGAGAGCTTGTGATATAACACGGCTGCCTAAACCGATGTGTGTAAATTTTATTGAAATCAGTAGTTCATCTGGTGATAATCGAGCCCTCTTAACCAAGAAGTCGCTTCGATAATCTGATATACAGTATGCATCGCATGATTGAGGGCAAACAGATAGAATTACTCTCACTGAATTTTTTAGCAGTAGCATCTCTAATCGCTACTATGATACGAGTTCGAACCTTTGGGACTTCATTGGGTTTCTCAGTCCTGTGAACAATATCTTGTTAGTATGAGTGGAAGCAATTAAGAAAACGGATTATTAGTTCTTTTGTCGAGTAATTTAAAACAAAATCTAAAAACAATTATCTGAAGGTCATTTGACTTGGCTGATGGGATAAAATTTACATTTCTTGGTAGGTGAACCTCGATTAATACAAATAGCTGAATCATTGGGTTGGTTAGTAGCCAAATACTAATTTCTAATTTTATTTTTCTTGGTGTCTCAACGCCTGGACTAGAAATTCATCATCTGTTTTTAACTGTAATCAATACCCTTTTATTATATCTACCCTACTCTTTGTTTTGGTTGATCATTTCTAATCATTAGAGGTTATTTAATGAGATCTTAGGTCAACTTATCGCAAATGGTGTAGTTAAACTATCAATTCCTTTTGTTTCTTTCTACGATTTTAATCGTTTGAAAATTCCTATCATAATAAAAACACATATATGGACGAAGAATATTATTTCCAATTACTTCCCATCAACTTCTATAGCTAGAAATGCACATTAGTGTCCCAATGAGAAAACCAATTTAAAGTGTCGTAACGACACTTTATATTCTTCTGTGTAACTGTCATGACAGGTCATAATCCTAGTGCTGTTCATTTAGAAAGTGTGGGGGTAGTAAGGAAATCTTTAAAATATTAGTTAACAACTTATAATTATTATTTGTGGGATTATTTTCACTTAAACACTTAAACATTGTCTATTTCGTGATACTAGGCCTAGATACAGTATAATTGACTGGTTCTGAATTCATCCTAACAGATGATATAAATTACGAAATTTGGATTTTTAAATTTGATCCTATCACTACTTCGTGTCTGTTCACAATCCTACATACCGAACAGACATGGTTTCATCGTATCTCAATGATCTCCCAGGCTTCGGTTTGTAAAGTGTTGGCTGAAAACATGAAATAAGTAGTATATATCTTTAAAATAAATTTTCATCCGTGGGATTTCCAAGCATTATAGATTTGCTACAATAAGGTAGTTCATGTTAAGAAACATAATATTCCTTATATTTCGATGTGTTTTAATAAAATCTTTCGATAAAATCTAGTAGTTAAAGACAATCTCTCGTACTCGGTTTTTATGTCACAAGTATTATTTGATTTTACAGGGAAGTTGTAGCTGGTGCAAGGTCTATACCAGTAAATCAGTGTCGAAGTCTAGGCGCAGGTTACCTTCTTTGGAAATAATTACATGACGAAGCATATTGTCTTACTCTTAGTTCTCTTCTGTGCAGTTTCTCTTTTTTCTTGCTATCGGTCTAGGATTGTATTTAGCAGTTCTTTATTTAATAGTGGTAACTAAAATTATAAATTCGTTTGACAATTCTTGATCTGACATTTAAGCCTACAAATAATAAGGCTAATTTGTGTAGTTTTGTTCATTTGGCTTAGAAAACTTCAACATATTCTCTGAGATTTATGTAAAAAATAGATTTAATTTAATTGTCATTCAAAACTCAGCACAATATTACACTGCCACAGCGTAGACTCATATGATTTACTCAGTAACTGTCAAACAATTCAATTTATTTTACTGCACTAATAAAAATAAATTTCAAGGAAGACAAACGTTTTAACAAAATAGTTGATAATGCAACTACGACTACTCTTTATCTATAGTGATCATTATGTATCACTTCTATTGTATAGTCGGCCTACAGGAAGTGGCAGTATTTTGCTAGAAAAAAAAGCATATTTGTCACAATATTATATCAACAATATATTTTATTTATTAATTAAAATTAATTTAAAAAACCTGGAAAGGCTGACAACATTAATTTTAACTTTACCAGATTTGTGTGTAGCCGACTAAGTACAAGGAAATTAAGTTGATGATATCTGTTCATTAAAGTCGACTTGAATAAATTATTCGCATGCATTTCGAAGACTTTCAGATACTATTCTGACTATTTTACTTTCAATATTTGGAAATACGTTTTCTATAACACTTCGTTTCATTTAAAATTTATTAGTTGGATTTGCATGCATAGGATAGTAATGACATTTTCACTTTGAGCATTAAGGATAGATGTTATTCTTTGCAGCAGTAGACTTCTGTCTACTTTGCTTCTAAATTTTGATACGTACTACATTCATACCTACTAATCCAATCCCCATTCCTCACATCGTTCCTACCATCGTGAGGAAGCCACTAGAATATCTTCAGCGTTACCCCAGCTTGGAACAACATAATATTTAGCCGAAACGACACCTTCAGAGATGGCTACTTATATACATGGCCTATAGAGTCTCTGGCTGCTTCCGAAATACTGGTTTTATGAGCGCCCTTTAAAGTCACAACAAACCATTCGGATGACCAGCTAAATAAAAATTAAAGTGCGCACGTTATTGTGTGGTCGGATATCATAAACGTATGACAAGCAACCTCAGCTTATCGATGCTGTAGGTCTACTCTCAACTCACGCTTATCCTTTACAGACTTCCTCATCATTTGAGCCTAAATCCGTAACGCCTACAGACTTGTTTTTAACAATACATGGCCCTCTGATCCAAAACATCCACAATCAATAGTGGTATAGACCACTTCTCAAGTATCACCCATTCAGAGCTCGTTGAACGGTCATCCATTACCCTCAGTACTATTTTCTCCTGCCTAGATAGCATTATTGTATCCCCGTAGATTATAGTGTCACACATCACTACTTGCACCACTTGCGATAAAATTGTACATAACCAAGAATCCCATACACTAGGCAGCATTTCACCTATATCATCATACTATGCACCACAGCAATACAAATCCATATATACACCACAGAACTACGACTTCCAAACATACTTTTGTGCTACAGACTAAACTCCTGTGTCATAATTATCGATCACATCAGGAAGCTTTCAGTCTCCCATCTGAACGAATGATCACATCGATCACATAGACCGTCTCATCTTTCAAGTTCTTTCAAACAGCCTTCTAGCTCATTAGTTACTCGGTTATCCCTCGTTATATGAAGCTTTTTTAACCACTTTACATTCTTGGAATAAATGGGCCGTGGATTCAAACCTCCTAAAGTGCTCTACGTATTTTATGTTTCCCTTCTCTCAATCACTTCATGACCAAGACTTTGTAGGGGACCTAAAAGTCTAATCCACAATGCAGTGGAGCAACGTCAGGAGATGCAGTCCCATGGTAGCCGGTGACCAATAATTGGTTCATATGGCATTTGTTCCTTCAGGATCCTAGAGCCCATGTTCACCATTGGTTTGGAATCAGGGTTTTCCAACTCCTTTATTAACTCATTTTTATTACGTCGGTTTTAGCTCTAAATCTGGACAGTGTTTTTTTTCTGCGAGGTTCAAAATCTGAATTCACAAATTACCTAGGAAAAAGATGGGTGTTTTTAAGAAGTAATGATAGTCACTGCCATCGTTGTACGGAAATCTTGGTTTCAAATATCTTTCAACGTGTGCTGCTAACGTATCCAAGGCCTTTGATTTTGTATCATACGAAAAGATAAGGCGTATACTTGCGATCTACGGGCCCACTAATTCATTTGTATCATACATCGATGCATGTTACAAAGTGTCATCAATAGTTGTATAGAGAACCCCATTCCACATTCAAAGAGTAGTGAACCAAGGTGACCTGTATATATATATATATATATATATTCCATTCTCGGTTGGCCGTCTGTTTCGCCATCATTTTTTTAATATCATGTTCTTCGACCTTGACTATAATTGATTAAGTAAAAAGCACTTTAATCATAGCATTAATATTTTGAAAAATCCTAATCTTCCATATTTAGCTCAAGTTTTAAATAATTACGAGGAAATAAGTACATTACACTCATGCTGTATAGTGTTTGGAGAGATGCTTTCTTTTGTTTTTAATTATACGTAACATTTTCCTGGATTGGCCTAAGAAAAAGTCACACCTAGGAATATGCATTTTATGTAGAAATCTAAATAAGGTCATGTAAAATCAATAGAAAATCTTATAGTCCTTATTCTAAAAGCAATGATGAAGCACTCACATATTTCACATCAAACTTTTTAGTTCATAACTGCTGTTATATTTGACAGGTTGAATTTAAATTTGAAGTAACGAGAGGCTGCTCTAATGATCAATTTTTATAGAAGAATGTTCATTAGATCACTTTATCGGAAATAAGTTAAATACTGCCAAATAGCATTGAATTAACCTAATCTATTTAATCAGCCATGTTGGAGGTATTAC